GCAACATTATTAGCTATTGCATTGTTTATTTCACAAAGCAGAGTAATTTTACACTAGTGAGCAGGGGTCTGATCACGGAGGGTGAAGCTCACAGGTGACCCTAAAGCTTCCCTGAATATAACACGCTGCTGTTCAGCTATATCGCTCATCTCCAGCAATAGAGTCCGTCGGAGTCACGCTCGAGGCTTAGATGATTCTAAGCGTCAACCAGTTAGAACACTCAGTCTAGTTTACGTAATATCGTACGTCGATTTGTTGTCAATTAAAAAAAAACAAAAACAAAAAAACGTAGTTCTGGAACTGTGACGTAAAAATCACAACCGTGCCACTATTAATACTGAGCGCAACCAACCACTGTCGTCATTTAAGCACAGGCGATAATTCAGGGCGCATCTGAAAAAATTACCTGAGCTAACGAAGGTGAAATATCTACGACCAGCTTCTAGGTAAGGCAGTTTGCTACGGAAGAGGATTAGGGCCACCATGAAAATATTATTTGAATTCTGACTTTAATCTCAGAATTCTGACTTTAATTTCAGAATTCTTACTTTTTTTTCTAAACTCAGAATTCTGAGATTAAAGTCAGAATTCTGAGATTAAAGTCAGAATTCTGAGAAAAAAGTCAGAATTCTGAAATTAAAGTCAGAATTCTGAGATTAAAGTCAGAATTCAAATAATATTTTCATGGTGGCCCTAATCCTCTTCCGTAGTACGCTAACAATTAAATGGAGTGGTTTTATAAGGTTTCGCTCTAACTCTTTTGAGGGAACTCGCTTTGTTGCAACGGCGCTATGTCAAAATAATGGGAAGAATAAATACTGTCTCAGGAGATGATCGCTTCTGGGTACAATTCTGATTGATTCCTTGACAATATCGTCAAACGCAGGATATTAGATCATTTTAAATTGTAAATTTCCCAGTTGACCGATGTGTAGGACGAGAGCTCCGTGCTCGGAGCTGGCCCGACAAAACGTGAAAGAGAAGGCTGTTCTTTAAGGTGGTGGGATGGCCAGCGGCGAAAATGTGCTCTGAGGCCTGGAGGTCACTTACAGTTCGCAGGAAGCGAGCGACCTTACGCGTGCAAACGCTGCTGTTCCCCCACAGTTCGTATCAGGAATAGATGTGCGCATTTCTGCGCTGGCAGCAAGGACCCTGCTAAACAGAAAACTTATTTTCTAGGATGATCATGTATAGGTGTAGGACAGCCTGACAATAGGGGCACCTCATAATCCATATGGGTTGTTTTTTGTACCTCTATTGGTGTATTTTAACTAGTACAGCATGAAAGTACACATGAATGCCTAATTCTTTTTAATTCTCTCCTTTACAGTATTTTACCATTGAAAATTTGCCTCCCTTCACTTCAGTAAGATGGCAGAGAATCAACAAGGGAGCCCTGAGTTTGAGGCACCAACCAGGCCTGGAAAGCACTATATCTGCGGTGGTTGTGCTGGCATGGCGAACATTATGATGACCTTCCCAGTAAAGAAGGTCATCTTTCGGCAGCAGGTTTTTGACGTGCCCACGACCGAGGCCATCCGGCAGCTGCAAAGGGACGGCATGCGGACCCTGTACCGTGGCATGCTGCCCCCGCTGCTACAGAGGACCACCTCAATGGCCTTCATGTTCGGCTTTTACAACGACTTATCTCGGCTGCTGCCACGACCTGCCGGCACCCCGGGGCTGCTGACCAGCAGCATGGCGGCTATTCTCGCGGGCACTATGGGGGCAACTCTGACCCCCTTTGAGAGGATCCAGGCGCTGCTGCAGGACCATCGGCACCACGGCCGTTTCAATAACACTTTTCATGTGTTCCGGACGCTGGTGCAGGACTACGGGGTGCGTGAATTGTACCGTGGCATGGGGCCCATCCTGCTGCGCAATGGGCCCTACAACATGCTCTTCTTCGGGCTCCGTGGGCCCATCAAGAACAGCCTGCCTGAGGCTGAATCCCATGCCGGCCACCTGGTCAGTGATTTTGTCTGCGGCGGCCTTCTGGGAGCCACTCTGGGCTTACTTTTCTACCCACTAAATGTACTGAAGGCTTGCAAGCAGACGCAGGTGGGTGGCAAGTTCCAGTCCTCGTGGCAGGTGCTGCGTACCATCTGGAGTGAGCGGGGTGGTAAATTGAGCCACCTCTACCGAGGGGCTCACCTTAATTACCACCGCTCCCTCCTGTCCTGGGGCATCACCAATGCCGTGTACGAGTTTCTAAGGAAGGTCATGTAGACCGACCTGGAACCTCTGCCACCCCCTGCTCAGAATTCAGGATTGCTACTCCGTGCATCAATAGTAAGTGAAAGCTGTAGTAATATACTGTTTGTTGGCACTTCTCTCTAATT